TTACCACATTTCGTTGCATCAAGAACACTATAGCGATGACTTTCAAAATTTAAACTTTTTTGTCGTTGGATAAAACAATAAATACAAAATAATGACAATTTTTTCATAAATATTGTTATCTGATCTGTAAATCTGTTGTGATTTGCGAATGATACTTCATTATTTACGAATCACGGTGAAATACATAGACATAAAACGTTTTCCCTTATTTTATCTTAGAAAAACATGCATATTACAAACTAAACTCATAACTTCAAATGTCTATAACTTCTGATAATTGAGTCTCGAAAAAATGTCTTAGATAAAAATTTATTAAGTTTTTTTAGGTTTTCTAAAAAAGGAAGTATTTTGGTAAAAGAAACAATTTGTTTTTATTAACGAATTATAATTTAATGATTTTATTTGAACAAACTTTCATATTCTTCTTGTTTACCAATTACATGTAACTAGCTGCGTATGCACGGAGTTGCTTTTGAGATAGTATAGAATTGGTGAGGTTGAGTTGAGAGAAAATAATAAAAAGAATAGTCTTAGTAATTAAAATGCACATTTATTGACCTCAGTATTTTTAATAATGAAACTGAAAAACAGAAAAATTTGCTCGGGCTAAAGTTAACAGAGGAGTGGGTACGCGACATACATTTTAACTCGTGAATAATTTATTATTGTAAACTAAACATATTTAATAATATGTATATGTTATTTGTAAAATGCCATTTTTTCCTCCTCATATTTTTCCATATTTCCTTTCTTATTAGTACAACCGAAAGCTACGCAATGTATCATTCATTACATTCTTGGAATGTAATGATTGAAAAACACAAAAAAATTTAAATATTCTAAAATAAGATAATAAAAATAGGTACAAAGATACGACTGTTAAGATTTCCAATATGGCGTCGACAGGCTTCAGCTGATTCTTTGCAAAGAGACAGTTAAGCTCCTTTTATTACCATTCCGTACTCGCTGAATGCAAAAAAAAAATTTAAGTAATGTTTTAAATGAAAAGTTTTATACTTATAAACTATAAACAATCAATTTTTTTCAAGGTTTATAAAAATTTTTATCAATAATAATTATTTAACACATATTTTAACGCATTTTAGAGAATCTGTTTTACATATGATAAAGTCAACAAATACGTATTATTACAATGAATAAATAATAAGTTTTTATATAAATTTAGCGATATTTTTGTCTATAATTTGATTAAAAAAATTATTACTGTATATAAAATGAACTAAATACATGTAGCTCATTCCTCATGTTAAAATTTTAATTTATATTGTTTAATTTTCTTAAGCAAGTACTCATGTTTCAATTATAAATAATTTGATTAATACAATACTTTAATAAATTTAACTAAAAAAGCAATTTTTATACAAAAAAAAAGAAAGAATAAAATTATTTCAATGTAAATTTCAAGTTAATACAAATTTTCAAAATTAATTTGTAAGTTAATTCTTAAAATTTAATACAACTAATATTTATTGAGAAATTTAAAATGACAGTTTCTTTCTTCTTGTGTAATATAGTTATAAATAACGTGTTTATCTATGTTTCATAAATTAGTGTTATGTAATTTTGTCATATTTAATTTACCAGCTACAAGTGAGTTATAAATATTTGATACATGTTATTTCTTATTTGTTGCTGCGAGTGATGGTAAGTTAATATAATAAGTCTTCAGCAAAATTCTTTAGATAGGTGCTGAAAAGCAGCTTCTTTGTTATTCTACGAATGACATTTTTCTGAATGACATCTACTGATAAGTCATACAGACATTGACTTTTGTATAGAATTACTGAATATGTTCAATATTTGATATACAATACATTAACATAGCCCAAAGAATTAAGTAGCTTCACTGACTATTGACTATTAGGAGTTTTATTTCGTAAATATTATAAATTTTACAGAACAATTCAATTTTTAATACATATAATTATTCTTATTAACTACTGAAAAAATATTTTATCTATTTTTAGTGAAATATATGAAAGAAAACTTTCGAGAAATAAACATAAGTGAATAGAACTGAAGCAAATTCTACAACTATAAACCAAAAACGATTACTTTAAAAATCTTAATATAAATCAAAAAATATTAATAAATTGCAAAATTAAAAATAAAATAATTTACATATATTTTAATTAGTAGTAAAATAATTAATTTAAATAAATTAAAAATAAAATTTATTTTTAATATATACGTATATCAAAGGAAAGAGAATAATACAGTATCGCAAAAATTTTTTGTTTTTAAATTTTCGTAATGAATGAAATAAATTTAAAAAACAAAATTTAGATTTGTCTTTAAAACAAATTAAATAAATAAATATTTAAACTATAAAATTACTTTTGTATTAAGTAATATTCATTTCACAAACTTAAATTAAACTTAATTAATTAAATACAAAATAATAAAAAAAAGAAAATAATTAGAGTTGAATTTGTATTTACATTTGTAGTAGCTTTGAAAATATAAATAAAACGAAACTATTGTCATTAATAAAACTCAAATATATTGAAATTTTCTATAGATATTCACTTTAAGTGAAACCAAAGACAATTTCTTTCAGTGTTTTCGTGTAAGTGAGAAACTTCTCTGCTTAGATACTAAGCTATGCAGTGAAGTAATTATTAATGAGTCAAGTAATATATTGAATTTACTGAATATTATATATTATTATTAAATAAATAAATAAATATATTCTACATTGAATATATTAACTCATATTAAAATGTTTTAAGTTTTTAATTCAGATTAAATTTATACTAAGTAATATATCAGAATAAAATATTATGACGTAAATTTTTATTTAAATATTAATTCACGTAAATAATATTCTTGTTTATACTCAATCTATTTATTCTTTAAAATCTTTAATACGCTTAATATTATAAAAATAATCAAATAAAAATCTGTATGATGATCTTAGTATGTTAAAATTTATCAACTACATTCATAAAACATTTTATATATTATACCTTATAAAAGATGTAAAAGTTCCAATAAAATTAACTAGATTTATATCAATTTAAGGAATAATAACCATTTTATTTATTTTAAAAAATATATATTTATTAAATACGTACTAAGTTAAATGAATATTTTATATACTACTATAAATTATAATTTCACGCTTTGTATAAAATTTATATAAGCAATTTATTCATCATATAGCATACTTATATATTTTCTTACATATAAATATGCTAACTAACAATATACAAAAATAACTTGAATGATATGAATGCAGAATATAGATTGCTTCGCTTCAATGAGGTACAATCATAAATATAATTTAGTTATAACCAAAAAAATAAATTTAATCTTATAAAATCAAAAAAGATTATCATTTGGAAAAATATATAGTTTTATTTACGCTATTATTATTTAATATTAAATTTATATGAAAAATATATAAATTTATATATACTCAATCATATTTTTAAATTGAAATAGCCTATAAATTGTTTTTTTAGTAATTAAATTTTACTTGTTTTGAGTAAAATTATAGAAATTATTTTAAAATTATGACTGTTTTACATTTTGAAACATATTTAAATAAATCACATAAAAAGTTTTTCCAAGAAAAATGTTTCAAGTTTTTATATACTCTCTTAAAATAAAATATTTATTTTAATTAATATTTAGTCATTAGAAAAAATTAATGCTATTGAATTAAACATATTAATTTACATTTGAGGACAATATAATTTAATTCCTATTTTAACTATTTAGTAATTAATATAATTTTCCACACTATTGCTTTTTATAGTTACAGAATACTGTATCTAAAAATTACGCCATGAAGATATCTTCTTTGCAATGCTTAACGGTATTGCAGTGAAGCAAACTTATAAATTTTAAATACTTTCAAAGTTTTACTCTTCTTTTAATTATTAATTAATAAATTTGCAAATTCCTTAAACACGAGTTAAAATTTATTATTATATTAACATTTATTTACATATTTTAAAATAAAAGTTAATATTTATAAATATGTATCTTTTAATTTATACAATTTATATATATACACATTTTTTGTATACATATTTATTAATTATATTTAAAACTAATGTGATATTTGCCTTCATTTATTATATTAAATTAAAATTATTCATAAATTAATTTAAAAAATACTTGTATTACAAATATATATAGATGTATAAATTTTATTACTGATAATTATTACAGATAATAAAATTTCCTACTGTATTTGTAATTTGATATATAATTATATTAAGACAATGGATGCGTAATGAACTAGCTAATCAAACGGGCGTAGATAAACCAGTCAGTTAACTTTCACTGCAGAATTATGAATCATTAATGAAGTTACGTCATATCGTTCTTCTTCCTTATAAGTTTATGTAATAATAAAAAATCAATAACAAATGGATAAATAAATCAATAATATAATGATATCATTTTTTGTTATCGCTGATATACAGGCGGCCATAATGAATATTTAATAAAACATCTGTAGTTTATTATCACATTAAACTTATAAATTCATTTAAAATAAGAAAAAAAGTGAATTATGTTTTAGAGTATTTTTATATTATTTGCTGTAAGAGAGAATATTGTATAATATTTTAAATATGAAAATTCTTGAATTTTTTCCCCTCCTTTTGAATAAAGTAAATAGAAATTTGAAATAGAAATATAACAATATAAAAGATATATATAAAAAATTAAATTTATAGCATTTCTATGCCGGTTTGTATTTTATTTCTCGCATAATTCTAAACAAAGATGTAAATTTACATGGCATTAGCCTACGTGATTCGCTGTAATTTCGATATGACTTCTGACATGTCAAATTACATCATTAACATGACACTATATAATGATGAAATATAAATTTAATGAAATATGTAATTAAATATTAGTATTAGACATTAATTTTACTTTAATAATATAAAACTGAAAGAGAAAAAAATAATAATTTGAGAATTTATGAATGAATCGGAAATGATGTGGCCGTTTATGACAATGAAGCATGCCCGCCTCTCAACGGCCTGTTTAGTAACTAAGGCTTTATGTCGATTGCAGTGGTGGTGTCGTCTGCGGTGACAAGAGGAGTGAAGCCAAATTACGTGGATTATATTTGAAAGTATATTACAATCGTCGATTCTTATGGTCGTTTTCGTTAGATAGTTTTTTATTAGATAGCGGAGAAGGAAAAAAAGCAATGGAGCAGTATTAAATTGAAAATGAATCGTTCGGCGAATCAAGATGGCGGTGAGTAACAAGACGAAGAACTTGCAAGCGATGAACATCAGTTCGCTTTTCAGTCGTCTTCAGGGTGCATTTTCGGAAGCCATGGCACCGCCCAAATTTGTTATCGACCGTAGAACGATTGAAAAAACTTGGAAATTAATGGACAAAGTGGTAAAGTTGTGTCAACATTCAAAAATGAACCTAAAAAATAGTCCTCCCTTCATATTAGATATACTACCCGATACTTATCAACATCTTAGACTGATTTATGTGAAACATGAAGATAAAATGCACTTTTTAAATGAAAATGAATACTTTAGGATCTTTATAGAAAATCTAAATCGCAAATGTAAGCAGGCAATCAAACTATTCAAGGAAGGCAAAGAGAAAATGTTCGATGAAACCTCACATTATCGAAGAAATCTAACTAAACTTAGTTTAGTTTTCAGCCACATGCTTTCTGAACTTAAGGCGGTTTATCCAAATGGAAACTACGCGGGTGATACTTTTCGCATCACCAAGAGCGATGCTGCCGAATTCTGGAAAAATTCTTTTGGTGACAGGTAAGTCAAAAGTAGTCAAAAGATTCTCTTTTTTCAAAAAGAGAATGCTTTTGTGGTCTTTAAATGATCCAAAAATTTATATATATAAAGGTGTGTTATAAGTTATCTTGTCCTTGTTATCATTATTCAAGTGTCAATTATTTTAAACGGTGTTTCCATAAAAATTATAATCATAATTTTTTCCATAATTGAAAACAAAAGAGACAAAATTCACAAATTCGGAATCATATTTTCACTTTTTTATTATAATAAATATTCAAAGATTCTGTGTATTTATAACATTTGTGCTGGTTTAAATATGTAATATGATAAATCAATATATTGCATATTATAGTTGTATCAGCTCATACAATTACATGTAAATAATGTGTTTTCAGTTTTAAATTGTATTATCTGACAATATGATTGGGTTTATCTTGCAAACACACGTATAAACATATGGATTTGCATGTAGGATGTTTTATTTTAACTAAATTGAAATATAAAAATAATAGGTATTAAAAGTTTTTCAGATTTTTAAAAATAAGAATAAAAATAAGTTACATAACATCTGTCATAAAAATAATGAGATTGACATTAAAGAGAGCATTATTTTAAAAATTATTACATACAAACATCTTTACATTTTTCTTTAAAATAGCTTCCCCACCTGGAAGTATTTATGGACATTTTCTTTTATGAGGTCAGTCAGTATATTTAGTTATGGATCTTTTGAATGTTTTCAATTGTTTAAAAATTAAATTCAATTTAGGAAAAAAAGAACAGTAGCATGGTGATAGATGAAAATGCAAATGATTTACCAGACCTATGTTTCATACAAAATTTGGTAATTTGTAACACTGTGAAACTTGGAATAATAATTTCATTTCATTTGGATAGGATCAACAGCTGTACAGTTATTTCATGGATATTTGTAATTTGCTTTATTATTTGCATTTCAGTAAGATATCTGAGATTAATCAAATAACACACTACTAGGGAATTATGGAGGTATTATTGTGATGACACATTTTTAAAATTGGTCTCTACTTTCACATAAGTATAAACTAACTAGGTTCTTTCAGTTAACATTTTAGAACATAAAAACATACTTTTGCCAGAATCATTATTAAAATTTCTACTGTTTAATATTGTAAATCACTTTTTATTAACTAATTTATAGCAAAATGCAGATACATCTGTAGTTGTCTCATTGTGGCTTCTTGAATTGTATAGAAAATATTTAAAAGTTTTGTCTTAGTGATATTTACATTTGCTATTTTATATTAAACATCGTAATAAATACGATTCAATGCACTGTTCTGTTCTATGTTGTAACAGTTTTGTATGTGTTAAAAGAATCCTTTGTAATAAATACCGTAGTCATATTAAGAGACCTTTTCTTCTGTGCAAATATTAATTTTTAGAACCTATAAAATATGGCCAATTCTCGATCTGTTTTAGAATTTTTATAGGAATTGCTAGAAATGGAAAGTAAGTATAGAAATTATAAACATTAGTTGAAATGTTTGTATCCTTGATATTATATCATGCATTATAATATGATTTGGAAAACTTGATAAAATCACCAAAAGTCAAATAATATATTTTAAAATAACTTGTATTTATCTCAACATCAGATTAAATGTGATTTTTTTATAGTGATCTGATCTTGGAATAGATATTTCCTGAAAATGTTTATATCATAACAGATTTTATAGTTATCTAAAATTAACCCATTTATTAACTTAAAATGAAAAAATATATACATACCAAATTATTGGAATCAGATATAGATGAGATTTTTTTTAGAGACATTTTTGTGTCAACTTCAGTTGGGGGATCTGAAGCAGAGATGGTCTCAGAAGAAATTTATTTATTTATTTTAGAATTCTGGTTGTTTATTTTTAAATTTACCTTCTGTTTTCACATTCTATTTCAGCATAACTGAGGAAGATTGGTTAAATCAGTCAAAAACGTTTTTTATTAATAAATTTATTTGCTGGATTTTTAAAGGTGTTTTTTTTTCTTGTCTAATTATCCAGTTGATAGAATATATATTGAAAATATATTAATCTCAGAAGAAATTTCAATTGTACATATATCTGACTTCTGTAATGTTTTAAGCATTTAGATTTTAATGTTTATCATATTAAAGGCTTCTTTATTTTTCTGGCTCTTATAAGGTAATCTAAGTATACTATTTTTGATTCTTGAAAATTGATATACCAAACTCTCAATTTTCCATGCATTGTCAAAATATTTTGTCTTTATCCATGGACAGTGTAATGAATGGAAGCTGTATACACATCATCAGTACAAGCAATAGGATTTCAAGTCCTCCCTTACTTTCCACAAGTCTAAAAGAAACAGTCTAAAATGTTCACAGGAGTTGACCTCAATTTACAAACTGAACTTCAGAAATTTATTGATAGAATACAGTTAAAAAATCACATGTTATAAACAGTTGAAAAAATACCCTATTAGTCCTAAAATTAAAATACAATAATTTGGAAAAAATTTAAGAATTATATATAAAAATATAAAATTTAAATTTCTACGTGATATTTCTGAAAATAGATATCTACATTTTATGTTCATTGACTAAATACACATTTCAGCTTATGAAACTTGGGATTCATTTGCATTGTGTTTATAATGGAGTTGAGCTGTATATGAACTGTAGTTCGTTTAAAACCTCTGAAGTTTTTTTTTAGTTTAGAGGGCTATTTTGGATTATCCACATTTTTCAGTTTTTCATGTCCACCCATGCACTAATTAGCATAGATAACCAGGAGTTCAGTGTATATGTAGTATTACTTGTAATGAATAATAATTCTATTATTTATATGTATACAAATATATATCCCAAAATTGTTTTTCTAGTTTAAGTTTTGATATTGAATTCATTAAATTAAAGCATTTATAAATTCATATCAAAATTTGAAGAAGAGAAACTTCAACTTAGTANGTAAGTTAATTCTTAAAATTTAATACAACTAATATTTATTGAGAAATTTAAAATGACAGTTTCTTTCTTCTTGTGTAATATAGTTATAAATAACGTGTTTATCTATGTTTCATAAATTAGTGTTATGTAATTTTGTCATATTTAATTTACCAGCTACAAGTGACTTATAAATATTTGATACATGTTATTTCTTATTTGTTGCTGCGAGTGATGGTAAGTTAATATAATAAGTCTTCAGCAAAATTCTTTAGATAGGTGCTGAAAAGCAGCTTCTTTGTTATTCTACGAATGACATTTTTCTGAATGACATCTACTGATAAGTCATACAGACATTGACTTTTGTATAGAATTACTGAATATGTTCAATATTTGATATACAATACATTAACATAGCCCAAAGAATTAAGTAGCTTCACTGACTATTGACTATTAGGAGTTTTATTTCGTAAATATTATAAATTTTACAGAACAATTCAATTTTTAATACATATAATTATTCTCAAAAGTTATAAGCGTTTGAAGGCATGAGTTTGGTTTCTGGCGCTGTTTCGATAGTATCGAATTAATTGAAAATGGTAGGTTATGTTTTACGGTTGCAGGAAAAGTTGAAATGATTCTGGTTTACGGGAAAACTAATAGAAATGTCACGGATCCCTGTAATTTGTGCATTAACCGATTTCCTAATAGAAATCATCCCAGTTTGAAGATTTTTCGTAGCATCACTAATTTATTTACTGAAACGGAAAGCGTCCAATCAAAATTTAAGATTCAAAGAAATACTGTAACAAATGAAGATGCGAAAATTGGTGTTTTAGTTGCAGTTCAAAATTCTTACATCAGTTCCGAAAACATGAGATTCAAGAATGTCAAAAACCAATATTATGCGTATTCTTAAATGTATACAGTACATTTCATACTTACCACATTTCGTTGCATCAAGAACACTATAGCGATGACTTTCAAAATTTAAACTTTTTTGTCGTTGGATAAAACAATAAATACAAAATAATGACAATTTTTTCATAAATATTGTTATCTGATCTGTAAATCTGTTGTGATTTGCGAATGATACTTCATTATTTACGAATCACGGTGAAATACATAGACATAAAACGTTTTCCCTTATTTTATCTTAGAAAAACATGCATATTACAAACTAAACTCATAACTTCAAATGTCTATAACTTCTGATAATTGAGTCTCGAAAAAATGTCTTAGATAAAAATTTATTAAGTTTTTTTAGGTTTTCTAAAAAAGGAAGTATTTTGGTAAAAGAAACAATTTGTTTTTATTAACGAATTATAATTTAATGATTTTATTTGAACAAACTTTCATATTCTTCTTGTTTACCAATTACATGTAACTAGCTGCGTATGCACGGAGTTGCTTTTGAGATAGTATAGAATTGGTGAGGTTGAGTTGAGAGAAAATAATAAAAAGAATAGTCTTAGTAATTAAAATGCACATTTATTGACCTCAGTATTTTTAATAATGAAACTGAAAAACAGAAAAATTTGCTCGGGCTAAAGTTAACAGAGGAGTGGGTACGCGACATACATTTTAACTCGTGAATAATTTATTATTGTAAACTAAACATATTTAATAATATGTATATGTTATTTGTAAAATGCCATTTTTTCCTCCTCATATTTTTCCATATTTCCTTTCTTATTAGTACAACCGAAAGCTACGCAATGTATCATTCATTACATTCTTGGAATGTAATGATTGAAAAACACAAAAAAATTTAAATATTCTAAAATAAGATAATAAAAATAGGTACAAAGATACGACTGTTAAGATTTCCAATATGGCGTCGACAGGCTTCAGCTGATTCTTTGCAAAGAGACAGTTAAGCTCCTTTTATTACCATTCCGTACTCGCTGAATGCAAAAAAAAAAATTTAAGTAATGTTTTAAATGAAAAGTTTTATACTTATAAACTATAAACAATCAATTTTTTTCAAGGTTTATAAAAATTTTTATCAATAATAATTATTTAACACATATTTTAACGCATTTTAGAGAATCTGTTTTACATATGATAAAGTCAACAAATACGTATTATTACAATGAATAAATAATAAGTTTTTATATAAATTTAGCGATATTTTTGTCTATAATTTGATTAAAAAAATTATTACTGTATATAAAATGAACTAAATACATGTAGCTCATTCCTCATGTTAAAATTTTAATTTATATTGTTTAATTTTCTTAAGCAAGTACTCATGTTTCAATTATAAATAATTTGATTAATACAATACTTTAATAAATTTAACTAAAAAAGCAATTTTTATACAAAAAAAAAGAAAGAATAAAATTATTTCAATGTAAATTTCAAGTTAATACAAATTTTCAAAATTAATTTGTAAGTTAATTCTTAAAATTTAATACAACTAATATTTATTGAGAAATTTAAAATGACAGTTTCTTTCTTCTTGTGTAATATAGTTATAAATAACGTGTTTATCTATGTTTCATAAATTAGTGTTATGTAATTTTGTCATATTTAATTTACCAGCTACAAGTGAGTTATAAATATTTGATACATGTTATTTCTTATTTGTTGCTGCGAGTGATGGTAAGTTAATATAATAAGTCTTCAGCAAAATTCTTTAGATAGGTGCTGAAAAGCAGCTTCTTTGTTATTCTACGAATGACATTTTTCTGAATGACATCTACTGATAAGTCATACAGACATTGACTTTTGTATAGAATTACTGAATATGTTCAATATTTGATATACAATACATTAACATAGCCCAAAGAATTAAGTAGCTTCACTGACTATTGACTATTAGGAGTTTTATTTCGTAAATATTATAAATTTTACAGAACAATTCAATTTTTAATACATATAATTATTCTTATTAACTACTGAAAAAATATTTTATCTATTTTTAGTGAAATATATGAAAGAAAACTTTCGAGAAATAAACATAAGTGAATAGAACTGAAGCAAATTCTACAACTATAAACCAAAAACGATTACTTTAAAAATCTTAATATAAATCAAAAAATATTAATAAATTGCAAAATTAAAAATAAAATAATTTACATATATTTTAATTAGTAGTAAAATAATTAATTTAAATAAATTAAAAATAAAATTTATTTTTAATATATACGTATATCAAAGGAAAGAGAATAATACAGTATCGCAAAAATTTTTTGTTTTTAAATTTTCGTAATGAATGAAATAAATTTAAAAAACAAAATTTAGATTTGTCTTTAAAACAAATTAAATAAATAAATATTTAAACTATAAAATTACTTTTGTATTAAGTAATATTCATTTCACAAACTTAAATTAAACTTAATTAATTAAATACAAAATAATAAAAAAAAGAAAATAATTAGAGTTGAATTTGTATTTACATTTGTAGTAGCTTTGAAAATATAAATAAAACGAAACTATTGTCATTAATAAAACTCAAATATATTGAAATTTTCTATAGATATTCACTTTAAGTGAAACCAAAGACAATTTCTTTCAGTGTTTTCGTGTAAGTGAGAAACTTCTCTGCTTAGATACTAAGCTATGCAGTGAAGTAATTATTAATGAGTCAAGTAATATATTGAATTTACTGAATATTATATATTATTATTAAATAAATAAATAAATATATTCTACATTGAATATATTAACTCATATTAAAATGTTTTAAGTTTTTAATTCAGATTAAATTTATACTAAGTAATATATCAGAATAAAATATTATGACGTAAATTTTTATTTAAATATTAATTCACGTAAATAATATTCTTGTTTATACTCAATCTATTTATTCTTTAAAATCTTTAATACGCTTAATATTATAAAAATAATCAAATAAAAATCTGTATGATGATCTTAGTATGTTAAAATTTATCAACTACATTCATAAAACATTTTATATATTATACCTTATAAAAGATGTAAAAGTTCCAATAAAATTAACTAGATTTATATCAATTTAAGGAATAATAACCATTTTATTTATTTTAAAAAATATATATTTATTAAATACGTACTAAGTTAAATGAATATTTTATATACTACTATAAATTATAATTTCACGCTTTGTATAAAATTTATATAAGCAATTTATTCATCATATAGCATACTTATATATTTTCTTACATATAAATATGCTAACTAACAATATACAAAAATAACTTGAATGATATGAATGCAGAATATAGATTGCTTCGCTTCAATGAGGTACAATCATAAATATAATTTAGTTATAACCAAAAAAATAAATTTAATCTTATAAAATCAAAAAAGATTATCATTTGGAAAAATATATAGTTTTATTTACGCTATTATTATTTAATATTAAATTTATATGAAAAATATATAAATTTATATATACTCAATCATATTTTTAAATTGAAATAGCCTATAAATTGTTTTTTTAGTAATTAAATTTTACTTGTTTTGAGTAAAATTATAGAAATTATTTTAAAATTATGACTGTTTTACATTTTGAAACATATTTAAATAAATCACATAAAAAGTTTTTCCAAGAAAAATGTTTCAAGTTTTTATATACTCTCTTAAAATAAAATATTTATTTTAATTAATATTTAGTCATTAGAAAAAATTAATGCTATTGAATTAAACATATTAATTTACATTTGAGGACAATATAATTTAATTCCTATTTTAACTATTTAGTAATTAATATAATTTTCCACACTATTGCTTTTTATAGTTACAGAATACTGTATCTAAAAATTACGCCATGAAGATATCTTCTTTGCAATGCTTAACGGTATTGCAGTGAAGCAAACTTATAAATTTTAAATACTTTCAAAGTTTTACTCTTCTTTTAATTATTAATTAATAAATTTGCAAATTCCTTAAACACGAGTTAAAATTTATTATTATATTAACATTTATTTACATATTTTAAAATAAAAGTTAATATTTATAAATATGTATCTTTTAATTTATACAATTTATATATATACACATTTTTTGTATACATATTTATTAATTATATTTAAAACTAATGTGATATTTGCCTTCATTTATTATATTAAATTAAAATTATTCATAAATTAATTTAAAAAATACTTGTATTACAAATATATATAGATGTATAAATTTTATTACTGATAATTATTACAGATAATAAAATTTCCTACTGTATTTGTAATTTGATATATAATTATATTAAGACAATGGATGCGTAATGAACTAGCTAATCAAACGGGCGTAGATAAACCAGTCAGTTAACTTTCACTGCAGAATTATGAATCATTAATGAAGTTACGTCATATCGTTCTTCTTCCTTATAAGTTTATGTAATAATAAAAAATCAATAACAAATGGATAAATAAATCAATAATATAATGATATCATTTTTTGTTATCGCTGATATACAGGCGGCCATAATGAATATTTAATAAAACATCTGTAGTTTATTATCACATTAAACTTATAAATTCATTTAAAATAAGAAAAAAAGTGAATTATGTTTTAGAGTATTTTTATATTATTTGCTGTAAGAGAGAATATTGTATAATATTTTAAATATGAAAATTCTTGAATTTTTTCCCCTCCTTTTGAATAAAGTAAATAGAAATTTGAAATAGAAATATAACAATATAAAAGATATATATAAAAAATTAAATTTATAGCATTTCTATGCCGGTTTGTATTTTATTTCTCGCATAATTCTAAACAAAGATGTAAATTTACATGGCATTAGCCTACGTGATTCGCTGTAATTTCGATATGACTTCTGACATGTCAAATTACATCATTAACATGACACTATATAATGATGAAATATAAATTTAATGAAATATGTAATTAAATATTAGTATTAGACATTAATTTTACTTTAATAATATAAAACTGAAAGAGAAAAAAATAATAATTTGAGAATTTATGAATGAATCGGAAATGATGTGGCCGTTTATGACAATGAAGCATGCCCGCCTCTCAACGGCCTGTTTAGTAACTAAGGCTTTATGTCGATTGCAGTGGTGGTGTCGTCTGCGGTGACAAGAGGAGTGAAGCCAAATTACGTGGATTATATTTGAAAGTATATTACAATCGTCGATTCTTATGGTCGTTTTCGTTAGATAGTTTTTTATTAGATAGCGGAGAAGGAAAAAAAGCAATGGAGCAGTATTAAATTGAAAATGAATCGTTCGGCGAATCAAGATGGCGGTGAGTAACAAGACGAAGAACTTGCAAGCGATGAACATCAGTTCGCTTTTCAGTCGTCTTCAGGGTGCATTTTCGGAAGCCATGGCACCGCCCAAATTTGTTATCGACCGTAGAACGATTGAAAAAACTTGGAAATTAATGGACAAAGTGGTAAAGTTGTGTCAACATTCAAAAATGAACCTAAAAAATAGTCCTCCCTTCATATTAGATATACTACCCGATACTTATCAACATCTTAGACTGATTTATGTGAAACATGAAGATAAAATGCACTTTTTAAATGAAAATGAATACTTTAGGATCTTTATAGAAAATCTAAATCGCAAATGTAAGCAGGCAATCAAACTATTCAAGGAAGGCAAAGAGAAAATGTTCGATGAAACCTCACATTATCGAAGAAATCTAACTAAACTTAGTTTAGTTTTCAGCCACATGCTTTCTGAACTTAAGGCGGTTTATCCAAATGGAAACTACGCGGGTGATACTTTTCGCATCACCAAGAGCGATGCTGCCGAATTCTGGAAAAATTCTTTTGGTGACAGGTAAGTCAAAAGTAGTCAAAAGATTCTCTTTTTTCAAAAAGAGAATGCTTTTGTGGTCTTTAAATGATCCAAAAATTTATATATATAAAGGTGTGTTATAAGTTATCTTGTCCTTGTTATCATTATTCAAGTGTCAATTATTTTAAACGGTGTTTCCATAAAAATTATAATCATAATTTTTTCCATAATTGAAAACAAAAGAGACAAAATTCACAAATTCGGAATCATATTTTCACTTTTTTATTATAATAAATATTCAAAGATTCTGTGTATTTATAACATTTGTGCTGGTTTAAATATGTAATATGATAAATCAATATATTGCATATTATAGTTGTATCAGCTCATACAATTACATGTAAATAATGTGTTTTCAGTTTTAAATTGTATTATCTGACAATATGATTGGGTTTATCTTGCAAACACACGTATAAACATATGGATTTGCATGTAGGATGTTTTATTTTAACTAAATTGAAATATAAAAATAATAGGTATTAAAAGTTTTTCAGATTTTTAAAAATAAGAATAAAAATAAGTTACATAACATCTGTCATAAAAATAATGAGATTGACATTAAAGAGAGCATTATTTTAAAAATTATTACATACAAACATCTTTACATTTTTCTTTAAAATAGCTTCCCCACCTGGAAGTATTTATGGACATTTTCTTTTATGAGGTCAGTCAGTATATTNAAAATTAGGAAGTTGATTAGAATTGACTTTAATAGAGTTGAAATATGGATTATCTTAACTGGAATTTAAAAAAAAATTAACTTAATAAGAAACATCAATAATTTTTTAAAATAAAACATTCAGAAATTTTGGAGCAAGGATGTTCACATCTTTTCAGTTAGACCATCTAGTATATTTCAGGGAAGAAGTGAAAGTAATATAACTAGTAAATATGCTGTATTTACTGTTTATTCAATAGAATTAATAAAATTGGTGATTTAGAGGGATGAATCTAAGGAGGACTTCAAAGGCTTAAGCTTTTTTCCATTGACATAAAAAATAAAAATAAATAAAAAATGAGAATTGAATACCATTAATTAATTAACAACCCTCCAGGTGATCTTGATGCTTTAAATAAGGGAGCATGGTGCAACTATCCCAAGGGTGCTCTAAAGTGGACTTGTGACTGTATTATAACTTTTTTTAATTTTTATCAAATGTGTTAAAAACAGTTTACAACTGAGAATAGAATTACTTGATAATTGTTATAGATTATCAAACAAGTTACAAAATTGAAAAATAATTACCTAAGTTTTTTATTGTATTTCCTGTTATAATTTCAATCAAAAACTAAATACGTCTTTCATTTTTTATAAATCTAGAGTAAAATTTACTATATGATATTTTTTAGCTATGATAAACCTGTGGCAATAAATATAAGTGCACTTCATTTATGGTTGTTATAAATGGTAAGAAAACTGGACTCATTTACATTTGAAATGAATATTGGTTAATAAAAGAAAGTACTCTACTTGAGCTAAAGTTTACAAAAAAAATTGACTCAATCATTGTAACAGGCATCTTCATATATGCCTTAAAGCATTACTCCTTCAAAAAATTAGAGGCAGTTAATTTATACATGCTGGTAACTCACTTAGGCATCACTGTGATGTAAGCATGGCAAAGATTTTGTGGAATGTTAGTCCACACTTCCCAAAGAACTGTATTCAGTTGATCTTTGTTTGGGGCTTTCATTTTCATACCTGTTTCTTGAGGATATGCCAAAAGTCCTTGATTGTATTAGGATCGGGTGAATTTGGAACTCAATCCATGACTTGGACTCAGTTTTGGCAAACACTAGTGGAGTGTGTGGTTTAGTGAGATCTTGCTGAAAGATTGTATCTCTGTGTGGCCAGAGATGGTCTACATAAGGCAGTAAACGCTGTTGCAAATTTTTTGGTAGCATTGCACATTGACAGTCCTGTCATGTGGAACCTAACCACCAATGCCAGAATACCCAACATACCCACACTTAAACTATGCTTAGAAACTTGACTTGTTACTTCACACAGTTTTGGGTGAGTCCTTCATTCAATTGGCAGATGATTCTATCCTATACAGTGGTACCTCAGGATACGAAATTAATCCGTTCCGAAACTGCGATTGTATCATGAAAATGTTGTAAGGTGGATCATCTTTTCCCATACGATTACATGTAAAACCAAATAATTCGTTCCAACGCGAAAAACATACTCAAATTAAAGCCAAGTAATACATTAAAAAAAATAACTGTAGTAAGAAAAACAAATGAAAAATGCAAACTAATGTAACGTCGTATGGTGAGTTGTTGTTTGTATCGTGGAGCAAAAAATATGTTCGAATTTCATGTCGTATCCTGAAAATTTCGTATGCTGGGGCGTTCGTAACCTGAGGTACCACTGTATTTCCATTTAGGACTAGAAAGGCGACTTGTCAGACCAAATTACTTCTGCCATTGAGATAGGTGGTCCCTAGCCTATGCAAACTGTTTTTTTCACTGAACTGGATCAGGTGAATAATCCATAATCCATATCATGTAACCTTTTGCTACCAGTTTATTGAGATACAGGTCAGTGTTTGCTTCACAGTTCTGCAGCTTCAAGAACATACTAGGTCAATATTTCGTGACCAGCTGACATAAAATTTGATCTTTTTCTGACAGTAGTGGTGATCTGTCATTACTGCATCCGTGTCAATAAAACCAGTTTCTTCATAGTATGTGAGAAAGGTTGTGACAATATTCATTCAAATACAATTCCCAAGCAATCTGCCATATAGCTGGTCCATTTTGTTATTTCTGGAGGATCTTATAGAACACTTGCAATTATCTTGCCATTTTTTTTGCATTTTGAATAATGCAGAGACCACACAAGATTTTATAGTTTCTTTCATTTGCATATTACTGACTGAGCAATACACAAAGCAACAAAAATTTCATTCATCCAGCCGAGCAACATTTGGTGAATGGTGTGCATAAATTTATTGCCTCTGATTTTTCAAGGAGTAATACTTTCAGGCATATGTGAAGATGCCTGTTACAGCCAATTTTTTTTGTAAACTTTAGCTCAAGTAGAGTACTTTCTTTTATTAAACAATGTTCATTTCAAATGTAAATGAGTCCAGTTTTCTTACCATTTATAACAACCACAAATGGGGGTGTGTATATATTTATTGCCATGGTTAAGTTATAACAATATCCATTATTTAAGATTTATATTTTGACATCAAAAATATAATATTCATTAAATTTTATATCTAAAAATAAAATCACTTTGAACAGCAATATATTGATGGTTATATTAAAAGTGTACATTTTGCATTTATACAAGTTATAAATGCAATGTTTTAGTGTAAATAGACTCTTCTACTGAAAAAGTAAATAAACCAGTGGAAAGAGAATGTCTGTTCTTAATATTGTTATTTTTCATTAAAATTTTTGTTACATAGATAAAATAACTAAAAATAATATCAGTACATAAAATTAAGATAAGACTCTACGTCTTAAATTATGCCAGCAAGTAGTATTTTAATACACAAAAGTGTTTTTGACCTAGTTTGGTTTGAAAATAATGAAGATCATAAACATACAAAATTTGAATGAAAAGAACAATATATTACTACTTTCAACAGGAAAGCTGGTTAGATAGTGAGGTACTTGCATGCCTGTCTGTGTGTCACAAATTCTAAGGATATTTTTTGACACTTGGAAGAACTGGACACAAAAATAAACCTCATTTTCATTTTTCCCAGAAAAAATATATCCAATAGCTCTTGAAACATCATTTCTTTCATGTATGGGTTGGAAGGTTTCCCTTGTGTGTAATAAACACATGATTCCTTTGCATTTTAATCTGACTATAATATTACTAATTAATTATAAAGATGATATGCAATTTAGACTAAAGGTAGGTGGTTAAGCCAATGTCTTGTATTAAGTTTAATAAGTAGATATAAATTCATTAATTTAGAATATTCTGGAAGAAAAGATTGATCTGGAATGGTGCTTAAATCCACAATTCCTGCTTATTGTGAAGGTCTGTTGCCAATTACACTAATCAGATCTTTGGTTTTTGCTTCCAGACCAATTAATTTAGAAGATTTAACCAGTCAGGCCACTTGCCATTCAAGAATATTCTAAATTAATGAATTTATTTTTAATTTTTAAATTTAATACAAGATGGTGGCTTAACTGCCTATCTTTAGTCCAAATTGCATATCTTTATAATTAATTAGCAATACTATAGCCAGATTAAAAGTTGGTGTTATTAGTTGTTAATGATTTGTCTATGTTTAAAGTTAATGGATTTTTTAATATTTTATTTACATGTAAAAACCAGTAAAAAAATTCAAATTAGTCAGTAAATGTGAATAAGATAATTTTGTTTTTAATTTTTCTGTTACTATTTAATTTATATTTTTGTTTGATATATAACTTGTAATCTATAAACATTTTTAATAATAATATTTTTATTTAAATATAATTATTGTGTTTGAAATGATTTTGATAGTTAATAATTAAAATGTTTTAATTTACTTATGATATATGCATTTTTACAGATAAATGTAGTGTCTGTTTGATCACATTTATACTATCAATAAATTATTTATCAAATGTAATTGTAGAGAAAACAAATTTATTGTTCATAATATAATATAATAATTGCATCTAAAACCTAATGAATTACCTATTCAAATACTTAACCATTTGAAGTTTAGATGTTCAAATGGTAATTTCAAGACGTACTATTAGATGAATATAGGGTAAATTTAACATTAATTTAATTGTAAAATTCCTATCTTTTTATAATACATACAGCTTAATAATAAAATTGATGAAACAAATTAATAAAATTATTTCAAACCAACAAGTAAGAATATTAAACAATGATGAAGTCTAATATTCAGCATGTATTTATTTAATTTAATTAAGCACTAAAAACAAAATCCAGTACTTGATTTTGATTTTAGTGTTTAATTACATATATCAGGGTTACCATATGTCTG